CTCTTCCTCAACCCAGCTGCCTCCCGTCCACACCTGGGGATCACTGCAAAGCTCTCCTTCCTTCCACTGCGTGTGTTCTGGTGTGCACTGTGTGTGTGTGTGTGTGTGAGCACACGCATCGAGGGGGTGCCATAACAGGGCCAGGCACCAGGGTGGGAGGGAGAGGTGAGCCTGGAAGATCGGAAGTTTGATCCTGAGCCCTTTTGAGTGTGCAGTGCCCAGGACTTCACGGGCAGGGCACAGCAAAGGCAGAAGCAAGGAATGACTAAAGCAGGGATGTGCGGGGTGAAGAGCCTGGACTCCAAGTCTCCCCTACTCCTGCTGAGGGCAGTGGTGGCTGGCCCCAGGCTATAGCTAGCCACTGGGGCTGGGTTCTAATAAAGGCTTCAGGGATTCACTGACAAGTGCAAGTGAAACAAAGTGGAGCCCAGCAGGAAGTGGTTCAGGATTCAGAAACCTGCTAAGGATATCAGAGAAGGGAAAAAAGGCCGAGCACCACTTACCTTCAGCTCCTGCACTGAGGGCTCCTGGCCCAGCTCTCTAGCACTATGAATGATCAGGTCAAGGGCATCGCCTGGCTCCACAGCCTTGTCCTCCTGGAGCTTTTCGGCAATGGCTTCCTCCAGATGACGATGGAGCTGGTCCCTTGCCCGGATGCCCTGAGGCCCAAGGGCAGAAAGGGAGAGGTGGTGGTAAAGACTCCTCCGGGGACCTGGCCTGGCCACCTACTGGGAAAACCTTCCCGGAGATTCTGCTGTGATGCTGGTGTTAAGTCTCCTGGCTTGGCTCCATGCCTGGCAAATGGCAGGGCTCAGTGAGTGGCCAGGGATTTGTGCAGTATCCCAGAGGCAAGGCAGGTAGCTACTGTCATCCCTGGGGAGGATGTCGGGGCTGGAGTCTGCTGTCTCTAAGTGGAAAGAGAGGTCAGGGTGGGGTCAGCCCATGGCTTTCCTCCCCTTCCCTGCACCTGGTCATGAGGGCACAGTGAGCACCAAGGTAGGGAGGGAGGGACGTCCTGATGCAACTAGGGACAAATGGATGGATACCTCAAACTTGGCTCTGGAAGAAGCTGGGCTCCCCTGAAGACTGTGGAGTTCTGTAGCCAGAGGAGCCAGGGTTCAAATCCCATCTCTGCCCTACTAGCAGAATGAGCGTTAACCATGTAACCTCTTTGATCTTGGGTTGTGTCAATAAACTGAGGGTAACACTTTGCAGGCTTCCAGGATTAATTCAAAAAATGTATCCAAGGGGTTTAGCCCTCAGCGGGACTCCTGCTATATTATTTTTCGTTAAGCCACTGAAAAATAGCTAAGCCGCACAGCGAGCAGCTCCAGCTCAGGGGCGCAGGGAGCCGCTGGGGCCTCTCGGTCGCTCTCCAGGTCCAGCCCGTGGCCCTAGAGTCCGGAGGCCGCGGTTCTGGGACCCGGAAACTAGTGGGCTCAGGGCCGCAGGGCGGGGAGCGGCGCCCACTCCTGTGGGCCAGGGCTGGCGCCGGGCTGGGCCGGGCAGTGCCTGGGGCCCTCCCGGCTTCTGAAGACTTGCTGGAATCCCAGCCTGGAGGCGCCGCTTTGGGGAGGGGCCCGACCCACTGGCAGGACGCCCACCACCAAGACCCAGACGAGGAAAGCCGGCGGCTGCTGGACGCTGGAGCGCGTCTGCAGGGCGCGACCCAGAGAGGATGTGTGGCCTGTCCCAAGTGATCCAACGAGTCAGAACAGAGACCAACGCCGACTTCCTCCGCCCCCCATCACCCTCCCACACACCGGCCCCCAGTCCCTCAGTGACGCGCGGGGTGCACCGACACCCGCGGGGCGCGGTGGAATTTGAAGAGGAAGGGTCGAAGCCGCAGTACCTTGCGCAGGCCGCTGAAGGGCACGTCCAGGGGCAGGGAGAAGAGGTTCTCGACGAGCTGTTCGAAGGTCCGGGCCAGCGCGGCGCACTGCATCTCGTCCAGCCGCAGCCCCAGGAGGATGCGCGCGGCCATGCGGAAGGTGAGCGCCTTGCTGGCCTCGTACACGGCGACCGGGCCGCGGGCGGCGCACCAGGAGCGCACCTCGCGCCGCAGCGCCCCCTGCAGGCCGGGCACGTAGCGCTCCAGCGCCGCGCGGCTGAACACGCGCGCCAGGACCTGTGGGCAGCGCGCCGCGTCACGCCGGCGCCAGTCGGGGCTCCTCTGTTGGAGCCAGAAGACCAGTTCTGTCCTTTTCCTTCCTCCCCTTCTACTCAGCCCGGCTCTAACCTTGCCGGCCTTTGCTTTCGCCATGCCCCTCTAGGTCTGCTCTTACTGTGCAAGCCCCTCCCATCCAGTGGCCACCTCCTGCAGACGCACTGACTATTCTCTAGTTGAGAGCACACGGAAGTTTGTGAATCACAAGCAGAGATGATGGTAGACTGCAGGGCCTTTTAGCCCTGTCTTGATCTCATAAACTTAAGCAGAAGAGGGTAAGGCAGCTAGCGAGGGGCTTGGATCTGGCTCGCTGAATACCCCAACATGTGACCCAGCCAGGGCTCAAAACAGGTGCCCGGGAACCGCGGGCCTAGTGGCCCAAAGGCCCAAGTTCGGTTTCCGCTCACCTTGCGACGCCTCCGATGCGGCTCCCCGACAGCGCCGAGGAGGGTGTGCGAACCCAGCAGGATGTGAGCGCTCTGCGGCCACTGGCTGCGCACCAGGCGGTGTTCACCCAGTAGGATGGTGCGCACATTCTCCGCCCCGCTCACGCGGATTACCGGCCTGCCCAGCAGGTGCGTCTTGAACACCGTCCCATAGCGTTCCCGGCGGGAGCTGTGGAAACGCGAGCCCTACGGGCGAGGTATGGCGTGGAGGGCTGGAGTTTCCGCGCCTGGACGCGGAAGAGTCTCCCATATCCTGCAGGCTGAGCCCTTGCAAAAGTGGGTCCCCGGAGGGGCTCGCCTCTATCCTGTGGGAATGTCGGAGCGCCTGCTCCCATTGGCCAGATAAGGACACTCGTGGGGACTGGAGGGCAGGACTCTTGCCGACACGTGCCCCTGATTCCTTGCAGGAAACATGGTGACATGCTCCCCAGACCCCTTCCCAGAGCCCTTTCTGCCTCCCATTCCCACCCCGCCCCAGTGGTGTTTGCTCGAATTTAAGCTGCTTTGAGGAAAGGAGAGATCCTATGCCACGAGAGGTCCCGTCGAGCGAGCAGGGAGGGGGGTGGCTAGAAAATAAGAGCCAGGCTTGGGCGGATTGGAAGGCACTAACTAAACAACTCTGGGAGCACCGAGGGTCAGGAGAGTCTGATGGGAGACTTAAAAGGGGGTAGCGATGCACTGCTCACCTGGACTAACCAGTGCAGCGTTTCGCCAAAGAAAGGCCAGCCCATGGAGCCCTTGGGCAGCGGCAGGGCGGAGGCCCGGTCGCGGCTCAGCGTCCAGCGGAGGGTCCAGAGGTGCTGGGCCAGACTGAGCAACAGGCCGGCACACAGGAGAGCTGTGCCCGCTGCCCCCAGCACCGACAGGGAGCTCAGCCCCCAGGGGAACATGATGAGCTTGAGGGGGGGAAGGGAGGAAGGGGTCGAGCAGGCCGCTGGGAGTGCAGGAGAGGCGAGGACTGCGGAGAGAGCAGTGTTCACCTGTCAGGTCCGAAGAGGCCTGGGGTTGGGGGTCAAGCCTGAAGATTACACCATCGGGCAAGAGCTCAGAGTCACGGCTGGGCAGTGACGGTGCGTCCTTAGCGACCCACGCTCGGGGTGCTTTTCCAATTCCCAGTCCCAAGTGCCACTGGGGGTAAAGGTGCCGTTGCCTGCGGAGTGCTCCCGTTCGGCACCCCCCGGGTTAGCTCTCACCTCCCTCCCGGGAACGGCAGTCCTCCAACAGAAGGACTGAGGCAGGGCAGGCAGGACAGGGAACTCAGCAACTCACCGGAGTTGCCTGCCAGGGGCTGCGGATCCCAGGGTGCCGACCCTCTGTCTTCTGCGGTCGTTTAACTCTAGTCGGCCCACCCTGTACACGTTTATATAGACCTTAACTCCCTCCCCACTGGCACGTGCCGGTCCCCACACCATGACGCACCCATGCATATTTAAAGCGCTCCGCGTGGAGTACTGATTGGAGGCGGTGGGCCGGGGCTGCTCACCCCTGGGCAGTAGGGAGTGGCAGCCGCGCACGGGCTGGGCTGGCGGCCGCGCCCCCCGCACGCGCTCTCGGGCGGGGCCAGCACTTTCGCGCCAGAAGTCCTTGGCGGTCCCTCCGGGAGCGGGCCAGCCGGGCAGCCTGAGCCGACCCGAATAGACCCGAGTAGACCCGGCGGGATCCCCACGCTTCAGCCTCTGGATGCCCTCCCCTGGCCATTTCAGAGTTGGGTTTCTCCAACCCTTTCGCTACAACTCTTGAAAGGACAGGGCAAGCGCCCACGCCTGTGCTGGTATCAAAACAGCCTGCGAGGGACGGACTAGGGGTGCTGGCCGGGGCCAACATTCTATGACACTTGCTTTTGTTTCTGACAACTACACAAACCCTTCAACAGATGGGAGCTTCACTGAGACCCCACGAATAAGACACCCCAAGTCCACGAGAAGACGCTATTCCTGGACTGCTTTTGGCCCCAGGGACTCATCAATCCTCTGTTTCTGCATCCCATCTTGAGGGGCGTAGGTCCCCACCGCACAGCCACAGCGGTGGCTCCCAGCTCCTTGGTGACCCAGCACCCGCCACTGGGGGAGAAAGCCCAGGTGCCTTAGTGGGCTGAGGGAGGCAGCGGCCACAGGCACATTCCAGTCTCCCAAGAGCGCGAGCATTGGGGCTGTTCGCCGTTCCTCCCCTAACGAGCAGCTTTTAATGTGCCTTAAGAATTAGCCATGTTTTTCAGTAACATAATTTAAAAGGGTGACATGCGTTATGAAACGCCGTGGTCAAGAAAACAAAGGTTTATTTATTTATTTTTTGGGGGGGGCACCGCTCCCATTCCAATATCCAAGGAATAATATCTTTTTTGAAGGAGGAGGTTTTCAACCGGGAGTTCTAAACAGAACAGCGACACATTTTCAACAACTTGTTCAGCCTTTTTAATATTGCATCACAAAATCAAAGAGATGTACAGATCATTCTTCGCACTTTTTTTTTTTTTTAACAGAGTCAGATGTATGGTTTCTTACAATTACAGATCCTGAAAATGCAAAGGAGGTAAATTCACAGTAAATACAGTAGGGAAAATTAAGAGCATATTGATACTGCCACTCAGACTCCGGTAACTGGTACCCCAGGACACGCCCAGCTGTAGGTCCTCCGGAGTTCCTGTGGTCCGACCTGTGTCCACGGTGAGGAACCAGAGGGCTGCCTTTGGAGAGAGCCCTGGACCCTGTTCCGGTGCCTTGGGGGAGGGGGACCCTGCACCAGCTGCACCTCCAGGCTCCTTCTTGTCAGCTCTTGTCCTCTTTTTGCTTGAACCAACCCAACTCTAGAGTGTGACCAGCCACACAATTACAAGCATTAGCCCTGGAAACAGCACAGTTTAGGAAATCAAAACCTTTTCTTCACTTTCAGAAAAACTGAATCAAACTACGCAAGTAGCACAGATAATTCACATTCTTACTGAGCCAAATTTGACTTCAGGGAATTTTAATATTTGTCTCCTTCTTCCTCAGAATCAGCAGAATCAAAAATTTTTAACCTGCTTAAATTATACTCGAGATGAAAAAGAAGCTGAAAGTCAGAACATGACAACGAAATGCTGCTGAGGCAGAAATGATTGCATCTGACACCCACGAGCTGATAAAACACAACAAAAAGTTATATAGACTAGATAGAAAAAATACTTAAAAGGGGAGGCATACGATTTTTTAAATAATAAATTTGGAATCATTTTGATATTATCTTTTATTTGATTTATATATTACAATTTTATCCTTTTTCCTTCTAAAAGTGAAAAAGTCACATTTTCCATATATAAAATAGTATTCAATTATTTAAAAAGCCATACAAATGATATTAGTCACTGTTTCTTTGTTGAGCCCTGACCAGTGTATTTCCTCTGTCGCCTTCCTTAATTCTATAAACACATCCCTGTGTCAGGGCTCGGAGGTCGGTGCAGCACGGCCGTGTGCGGTGTGAGGGCTACGCGTGCTGGGACATACCATTCACCAGAGTTCTCAGCTGCTTCACCACGGTCTCTATCAGCTTCTGTTTGTCTCGGTCATTCTTCCTGAACTGAGCAAATATATTGTTCTTTTTGCTAGTATCCTTCATCCTAGGAGCACAGGTGAATGAAGATTAGCAAAAGGAAATGAAAGCCGCAGTGTCACAAGTAGACTAACCTGGCAAGTTCTGAATCACCTTCCACTAATCCTGTGCTAAAAAAGATACACTTCAAAGAAAAAGTGCATTAACAAACCCAGGATGCAGCAACCACACTCACAAATCAACAGCTTTGCCTTCTATACGAAGTAGTATCTTGGCCTTAATATGCACATCCCAGTACCATTCCATAATGAATTCTGTAAATCACATTTATAGCAAGACAAGATGAAAGAAAGAACAGTACCAGGAAATTTAAACTAGCATTTTTCATGACAGTGAAAATTGAATTGAATTTTGAACAGCATATTCTGTTCTCTTAAATCAACTATGCCAGATACACTTAGAAATGGAGGAAAATAAGAATGAACAATTTAAAATCTCAACAGCAATCCACTGAGTGAAGAGGAAGCGTGCTCCATAATGAAAGGAAAAGGTAACATCTAAATTTGTATTTCGTTGGACAAAATGTACCCACAGATTTTGTTAACTTAGTTTTTGTTGTGGTCTCAAATCACATATTTGTTTAACTGAAAAGAATGCAAGCCCCTTACGGTGACATGCGGACTGCAGGGCACTGCTGGCAAGATTTCCAGTTCCCAACTCCTGACCCATTTCTCTCCTCAGTGTCGGATTAAAAACAAACAAACAAAACCCCCCAAACAAGCTTCAACTCTCACTTATATTTCCAGTTAAAAAGATATGTATAAAGTTGATAAACCTGTAATTCATAATACGGGAAGAAAATTATTTTGTCCACATCAGGATAAGCCGCAATTGTGTATTAAACTACCCAAATCCGGAGAGCAAAAAAAAGACGCATTAAAATGAGCTGAACTTTTGCATTGCATAAAGACATTTCTCATTTGGTGGAAATCTCTGCTTCCACTTTGCATCACTGAATCCCAGCATGCTACGACGCTGTCCATGAAGGTTTTCAGAATATACTCACTTCTCCAGAAGAGTCAGGGCTGTGTTTGGATTCACGCGAAGGTACTTAGAAGCTGGCTGTCCATAATCAGCCAGATATGTAGACCAATCCCAAACCATAAACAGGTCAAGCAGCTGAGGAAGATTGGGGAAAAGAATAAATCAGCACTTGATCTGATATAATCAAATGTGCTTCCTGGTACAATTTAATGTGAACTGCTTCTCAGATGGAACAGAAAACAAATGCACATTTTCAAAAACGTTACTAACTGTACTTTCTAACACAGTATATACTACCATTTTGCTTTGAAGCTACTAAAATTATCAGGAGCTGCTTTTCTAATAAAATCCCTGTTTGCATTTCCTATTAATCATAAAATAATAAAAACAGTTTAATTATACTAGTTATACTTGTGTTACCATTTGTAGCAATGCAATTTTTATCTATACATGTGATTCATTTAGTACCCAAATTTAATTTAATGAAGGTTGGTGCTACTAACTGCATAATTTTAAAGAACTTATATTGAACCTTTTTTTCTTAGGGGAAAGTGTGTTTATCTTGCAAAGAAGCTGTTTGCACCTAGACTTTTTCCAAAGTAATTTGAACCAAAAGCTCAGATAATCTCAATTAAGTGCATTAAACAACCTCTGTTGGATTCTCCCTGGTGAGTGATCCTTGGCATTATTATGAAATGAGGGCTTTGGGATTCAGCCTGTTGACTCCAGGCAATCATTTTATATAAACAAACAACAACAAAAAAGAAACTGTTTTTCTGTGATGTCTTCAAATGGGCTGTTTGCTGTATAATCTCCAGCTAGAATCAGTGTCAAATATGGAAGTAATCTTTTAAAAGCAATGCCCTGCCTAAACCAAAGCACCCAACTCCTTATCCAACTTTAAGACCCTAATCCCTTTTTAGCCACTTAAAACCAACTTCCTATCCCTATTTGAATTGTTTCAGAAGCTAAATGCTTTACTTACTGCCTCCCTACCTTCCTTAGTTTTTATATTATTCTTTCCTTTTGTTTTAACTTACTAAGTGAGGGGTCCTTTAGTTTTGCTTTCAAATGAAGGAAGCGTTTGCATTTAGTCAGGATAAGGGAGCCTACTCAGTGACTGTGGGAGGACTAAAACTGCTGACTGACATCACCTGCAGAACGGGTCCCAGAAACTAGCTTCTCCTTAGGTGGGGAAAGGGGCTGTCCCGTTTTCTTCCCAATTCAATTAACAGCTACTAAAAGTTTTTCTAAAAGGTGGCAGATCCTGGAATGAAAATATTAACTACTATAGTAAAGCCCCTATGTTTTATTTTAGACAAGATAACATTCTAGGCCACCAAAAGCTACAGCACTGGAACAGCAGTAACACTGGAGCAATAAATTAGATGTTAACGTTATCTGCAAAAGGACAGGGAACTTACAAAGCTCCCTACGGTTTCTGATCATTGTTTGGCCGAACAAGTACACTTTTCTCTGTGTTCACAAAGAGGGGAAGTCACTTTCACACACTCAGCTGTTAATAATGTAAATCAGTATAATTACTCTGGAAAGTTTCTGTAATGAGCTTAAGAACCTTAAGAAATGGCCATCAGTAATCCCTCTTCTAGAAATGCAATTTAAGGAAACAGTAATAAAGGTGAAAAGGTAGAAAGATGCTAATCTCAAAAATGTTAGCAGAAACAGTCTCATCTCAATATTACGGGAATGGCTAAGCAATGAGGCATTGTCTACACATGTATATCATTTGGTTATTAAAAACATTTGCACAGAATTTTATATCATTTGGAAAGATGTCTGAAAATTTTGGCTATTTAATTCAAATAAACACTTACTCCTCCCCCACCCCCCCAAAAAAGAGGCTAAACTTGAATAAACATGGTCTGGTTGTTCTATTTGTGTGGTGGGATTAAGTTCCCTAGTATTCTACAGTGAACATAAGTCAGCATGAGAGTTAGGAATGATGTTCATTGACTTTATATATGAGGATTCTTTTAGCAAGGATGGTGCCCCACACAACGGGAAAGAATCCGCTTCCAGGTGTAAGCATGTGCGCGCACACAGTCAGCAGAAAGAGCCTCCCAGGCTCCTGGCGGTAATCTCCCTTGTTTTCCAAAAGGCATTAGCACTGTGACCTCTGGGAACGGAAGAGGAAGGAATCTTAAAGAAGGCTCTTCTCCCGAGTTGATCCACACACACGCCTCCCCGCTACCAGGTGGGAAAGCCGGAGCCTGCTAATGATTTAAGTCCCACTCCAACTGTGACTACAGAAGCAGATTTTCTTCCATAAAGAAACATTATGGTTATAGTTTTCACGTATGGATACTTACAGGCAAATCACTATAGCAATTACAGGGACCATAAAGCTTAACCAGTCACATGCAGACAAATCTTACCCATATGCTTGCTTGCTTTTTTTAAAGATTTATTTATTTCATCACAAAGTCAGATATACAGAGAGGAGGAGAGACAGAGAGGAAGATCTTCCATCCGATGATTCACTCCCCAAGTGACCGCAATGGCTGATGCTATGCCGATCCGAAGCCAGGATCCAGGAACTTCTTCCAGGTATCCCACGCGGGTGCAGGGTCCCAAAGCCTTGGGCCATCCTCGACTGCCTTCCCAGGACACAGGCAGGGAGCTGGACAGGAAATGGAGCTGCCGGGATCAGAACTGGCGCCCATATGGGATCCTGGGGCGTTCAAGGTGAGGACTTTAGCCGCAAGGCCATGCTGCCGGGCCCCCCATATGCTTTCAAACTTACAGTAATATTTTATTATTTTTAAAAGATTCATTTATTCAAAAGACAGAATGAAACAGACAGGGAGAGGTAGATAAAGGTCTTCCATCTGGGGCTGGCACTGTGGTGTAGCATATAAAGTTGCGAACTGACATGCCGGTATCTTTTTTTTTTTTTTAATGATGATGTTTACATAGTTGATTAGGGTGGAAAGGGTCAAGGGTGAGGGTAAAATGGGCGAAACCACTGTTTTCATTTTTTTCCTTCTTCCTGTATCTGGGGAAAGGGATAGATACAGGGAGAAGCTGCACCCAGCCTCCCAACCGCCCCAGTACCCAGGGATGGGGAATGGTCACCAGACATCATCCCAGGGTCCCCAGTGTGGAACATTGCTCAAGTGGCTTCAATAGTTCAATAGTTCTGAAATGCTGTTTATCTCGCCGATCCAAGGATGAGGAAATCCTTCCAAGGTCGATTGGATCTAAGGTCCACCTTGTAGTCTCCATTCACCCAGATATTTGCTGCCAACAATTGGCTGGGACAGTTGACCAATTTGTTCTGTCCTCCTTCCTCTGTTATGGTACCAGATGTCCTCTGCAGGCTCCAATGGACTGCCATATTTTCCCTGTGCATCTGGGTATGCGATCCACTGCTCTGCCTAAGCCACTGAGGAGGTGCAGCTCTGACACACATACTCCACAGTCAGACCATAGATCTTGTGATTCTTTCATGGGCTGGGGTTCTGAGTACAGTGCTTCAGTTGGGGGGAATCCCCCAAAAAACCTTGTCTGAAGTGTCCTTACCCATATGGGGTCTGGCTCTGTCCGTCCCCATATCAGCCTATGCACATACTAGTTGCAATTGCTGGGTCAGTTCTGTCTCCAGCCCTGTCTCTTACATATACCAATGGACAGCATCCTATTTTGGCACCTGTTCCAGTATCCAGATGCTCCACTTTTTCTTTTTAGATGCTCCACTTCTGATCCAATTCCCTTATGCCCGGGAAAGCAGCCAACGATGGCTGAAGTACTTGGGCCCTAGAATCCATGTAGGAGACCTAAAAGAAGCTCCTGTGCATGGCCCGGCCTGGCCCAGCCTGGGCTGTTGCCACCATTTGAAGGAGCAAGACCAGAGATCTCTGCGTCTCTGACTCTACCCCCGCTCTCCCGCCTGCCCCCTCTTCTCTGTAAGTGCCTTTTTCGATAAATAAATCATTTTTACTGCTCCCCCCAAATAAATACAATTTTTAAAAAGATTTATTTATTTTTATTGGAAAGTCAGTTAAACAGAGAAGGAGAGACAGAAAGGAAGATCTTCCGTCTGATGATTTACTCCCCAAGTGGCCACAATGTCCAGAACTGCGCCAATCTGAAGCCAGGAGCTCAGAGTCTCTTCCAGGTCTCCCATGTGAGTGGAGGGTCCCAAGGCTTTTGGCTGTCCTTGACTGCTTTCCAAGGCCACAAGCAGGGAGCTGGATGGCAAGCAGGGCTGCCGGGACATGAACCTGAACCCATATGGGATCCCAGCACATGCAAGATGAGGACTTCAGCTGCTAGGCTACTGCACCAGGCCCAAATAAATACATTTTTTAAATAATTAAAAATAAATAATAATAAAAGATCTGGGGCCTGGTGTGACGGTGTAGTGGTTAAGGTCCTCGCCTTGCACGCCCGGGATCCCATATGGGCGCCGGATCTAATCCTGTCAGCTCCACCTCCCATCCAGCTCCTTGCCTGAGGCCCGGGAGGGCAGTCGAGGACGGCCCAAAGCTTTGGGATTCTGCACCCACATGGGAGGCAGGCCTGGAAGAGGCTCCTGGCTTCGGATCGGCATAGCATCGGCCGTTGTGCTCACTTAGTGAGTGAATCATCGGATGGAAGATCTTTCTCTCTGTCCCTCCTCTTTGTATATCTGCCTTTCCAATAAAAAAAATAAAATAAATCTTTAAAAAAAAAAACAGATCTGTCATCCATTAATTCACTCCCCAAAGCACACCACAGCCATGGCTGGTCAGGTACCAGAACCTGCAGTTCTCTCACATGGGGGCCAGGAACTTGGGCCATCATTTCATCTGCTGCTTTCCTAGGCACAATGGTGGGAAGCTGGATTGAAAGTAGAACAGGGGCTGGTGCGGTAGCCTAGTGACTACAGTCCTGTATATCTGCCTTTCCAAAAGAAATACATAAATCTTAAGAAAAAAAAAAAAAAGAAAGCAGAACAGCTGGGAATTAAACCTATGCTATTACATGCTATGCAAACAGTGCCTTAACTGAGTGTGCCACAAGGCACAGGTTCTTATGAATTCTTTATAAAAATACACACTGTAATAGTTAACCTGTATAAATCTGCAAAAAAGTTCACATTAAGGGTTAAAGAGCGCATTGCCAATGTGGGC